TTAAAGGGTTATTAAACACTGTTTTTTTTATATATCTACTGCTAGCAAAAAGTAGATATATGCAAAATCATTAAAAAAAAAACTTTTTAAAAAGAGTTTAAACTTACCTGTGTCTTTCGCCGCGTGCTGCCGCCCGAACATCTGAAGAGTCTCGGGCGGCCGCAAAGGATCTTGGGGCGGGCGCATGCGCACTTCAGATGTATCGGGCAGGAGACGAGGAGAGACACAAGGTAAGTCTATGGAGCAGCGTGCACCCGCACAGACTCCGTGGGACATCAGAGGAGGACAGAGGAGTCAGCGCTGGATCGGAGACCCGCGCTGGAGGGACATCTGAAAACTACACTAAAGAAGAAGATGATCGGATTAAGAGGCATTCATTTAAGGTAAGTCCCTACAGCCTTACAGCCTTTGTACACATAACTGGGAACAAAATCCTACCACCTTGTCTTTGTCAACCACAACTGTACCCATTTGTTAAGCAGCAGATTCAAGATTTTTCCCCTAAAGTCCAGAACACTGGAAAGTAAGGATTGCAAAGCTTTGATTATTTTTTTCACTTGAGCGAAGAGTATACTATTCAGTTCTTATCTAAGACACAGGTTCTCAACCAATGGTACACATGTATCCTCAAGGTGCTTCTAAGAGGATCACATTAGGAAATAAAATAGAACTGTAGACTTTTATTGTTTAGCTATGCGGAACAAAATCTGAATAATGCAAGTAATTGAGTCCTTTGATGTGGTGACTGCATTAGTTTTTATTTTTTCAGGCTTTTTTCCCCTTTATTACCACCTAGTGAGCCTGTCAGTAACATACTTCCTCTGCTAAGGTTTACTGTAGCGTACTGTATCTTTGGAGAAGCACACTGTCATCCTAGGTCATGAAGTGTATTAAGACTACAAAACATCTTCTTTTCTTCATCCCCATAAATAACGGGGATGTGTTCTGTAGTCCACAGTGAGAGCTGCAAACAGTGCTAACTGAATAAAGTGCAGCAGGGGCAGAGAGCGCAGTGAATTGTCAGCTAGCATTTCTGGCAGAATCTTCAAGGGTTTGTTTGCACTTATTGAACTGATATAAGAAAACAGTTTAAATGGTATATTTAACAGACCAAAAGAAAGTACATAAAAGATATTCATTGTTAGGGTTTCCATCAACTTTAACTTTTTTGCAATAACAAATAATTATTTGCTTCCAGTTTTGGAATCCTATCTATTATTGTGTCCTTGTTATGACCACTGTATGTAATATTTGTATTACTTTTTTTTTTTTTTTTTTTGTCGGATCTCTGGTATCTACTTTACTTTATGACTCTTTGTTTTAGACCCCATATAGATCAGAGACATATTTTTCAAGTGGAGCTTTGATCATGTACCTTGTTAGAAACGCCTGTCTTGTTAAATCTTTTTGTAGATAATGGGTACCTTATTGGAGTCATCCAGCAGAGAAAACTAAAATCTTGACTAAGTTACTTGTCAACATGGCATTTTGCCAGCACTGAATCCTAACAATGATACCTCTGTTAGAATTTGGCAGACAAGTTAGCTCAGTTGAATCGCCTAGCCATGTGATTCTCATTAATGTGCTTTGTTTTTGGGTGGAACAGACTTTGTACTAATACCGGATGGGGTGTTGGATATGTTATATTCAACTGCTGTCAATGAATCACTCTATACAGTATTTGTTTTCAATATAAAGTGTACATTATCCACTCGATTATAGTGATGCCTGATGTTTATTGCACATTTTGATTTTGTACAGCAGTCATCCAATGTACGTTTACCGATAGCAATTTGTCTACAGCCCATAGGCATTTGCATTGTTACGGTTTCTGATATTTGCAGCCCAACTCTGACTATAGTGGAGTTAAAATCACTGAGCAGGTGTTGTTTGCTGGTGACATATCGCTAAAGGAACGCAGACAACCGCAAAAAAGACAATAAGGGGAATTTACTAAGGAGGAGGAGACGCAATCTAGAGCAGCTGTGCATGGCAACCAATCAGCTTCTAGCTTTCATTACTAATGTAATCCAGTAACCCAAAGTCAGAATATAGCAGGCTAATGCCCCCTATATGCTGACAGTGCAGTGCCGCACTATAGCCCGGAAGGATCCTGACAATAGTCAGCTCAACTCTTGGTATGTGGAGCCATGATAGGACAGCTGTAGTGTCCCACACTGGCTCTAAGTATTAGGAAGAGCATATGCTTCTCTCTTAATACTTCTCCTTTAATAAATGACTTTCCTTTGAAAGCTTTTGGCCAAGATTTTGGGCAGCTAGCAACTTGCAATCACAGCTGTCACTGACTGCTCCAATCTCCACTGACCACTGGAAATTGGGAAGTTATTCCGATCATGTGATCAGTATGTCAACTATGACATAGTGACTACATGCAAGTTGGAATGCTGCAGTGACAAAATAATCCTTCAGCCTATAAATTGTTTTTGTTTTTCCAAAAAACAGGGCAGGTTATTAGTAAAAGAATATGTCAAGTAAAAGCCTTATGTCCCTAAAAATATGAAAAACATTATTTAGCTATATGCAGATTAGTTTGTCAGGTTAACTGACACATGCGTATTCAGCTATGTTTGGCCTGGACACCTAGGCATCAGTGTGAGAACTAGTGCCCCATGGGCAAAATAAAAGACAAGCAAAGAGCTGAAGTTTGTGGGCCTCCGCTATAAATACTTTTAAGTGAAGCACATTAAAGTAGACCTTCCCCTAATCTATGCACACAAGTATTTACACATTCTAAACAAACAGTAGAAGCACTTTAAAACAAGCCATCAATCACCTTAAAGAATGTACTAATCAACTTTTGCAGGCATATGCTTTTTTATTATTACATGATCAGGCTAAACTGTGCTACTGTGTAAAACATTGCATACAGTCATTTGGAATATATTTTTTGATTTCATACATCATACTTTGCAAATTCAGCATGTTTCCTTAATTGGGCCAAGACCTTCCAGAATAAATTAGTTTCTCTGCATGCCTTTCAAACCTTGATTCGTGACCACCATCAAAAGACTGGGCAATGATTCAGCTATCAGGAAATTTGTCAAATGTTCAGTTCCTTGACATTGTCTAACAAATGGAGCCCATTGGGAGTCCTGTGTTCCAGAAATAGGTCCATATACAAAGCTTGAGCTGCGCTGTATTCAGTGCAAACGTTTTGAATCTTTATTTTATACAATAGAAAGATCCTACATTAAACCTCTGAAGAGGGAAGCAGGGCAACATCACATATAAAAAGAAGCTTGAAAATGACTAAATTACCTTAAAAAGGAATAACCTTGTAGTCCAGCTGTTTTGTACTTATCTGGAGATTGTCTGACATTTTAAAATTATTATTTGCTATGACTTCATCACACAGAGCAGCTGATTTTCTTACGCTTTACATGAATATAACACATTTGTCTTCTTTTGAGAATTTTATAGCGTGAAGTCTGAATGTTAAGGGTATATATACATTTTGTGGCAGTGTATTGGTGAGTGAAGTGCATTCTTGTCACTGGGCTAGCGTGATTGATACATATTCATGCTGCCCCAGATGAATAAAAAAATAGGTCCATGATGTGGCCTTCAATCCAGATGTCATGCATTTGATATCTTGAAGACCTCTGTAAAGAAGGGTGATGTGTGTGACAATGATATATTCAACATAATAGCTTAAATGTATATGTGGGGGCTGCTGTTAGGAATGTTTAACCTGTACACTTCCTATACCCAAAGTACCTCACCCCTTCACTCAATGAAGCTCTGTTTGGCTATATGGCCTTCTGTATACATATAGAGTTTGCAAGGATAAGCACATTTATACCAGTGAAGCAGAGTACATTTGAGGATTTGGATATGCAAAGGACAACTGGGCATGCTTTATTCCTAAAGCTAGCCATACACCTATAGATTATCTGCAGATTTTCAATGGTCAGATGGAAAAAGTGCAACAGATTCCTCCATCTATGCTGAAGTGTGTGGATGGAGGAATCTCCCACTGGGCCAATCTCTGACCTTAATACTTTCAATTCCTAGACCAGGAACAAGCATGGGGAGAGTAAAATCACAGTAAATTCACAACTTCTGATCCGCATATTGGTTGTGAGTCTGTTTAGAAAGTATTGGAAGCGTTTGCTATGGCATGAAGCCTAGCAACATTGACTTTATTATTTCTATAATGACTATCATTTACAAAAAAGTTGTGGCCAAAAATGTGATCTTTTTGGGGTTGCTGCTTTCCAAAAAGGGCTTAATCTTCGGGTTTGTGTGTCCTATCCTAGAATTTTCTGTTCACTATGTTTATAACAGAAATTAGGGAAGCCATTTTTTTTTTCAATATCGTTGGTCTTTTTTAACTTTATATAATGAAACAACTGTGGTTATATAAGTTCACCAAAAGAAAACTCGTTCTGCCTTAAATAAGATATAACATGTATTTGGATTTAGTGTTTGAATGATTGAGAATTTTTAGGTAAACTATCCCAGCACTAAAAACTAAAAAATGTCCTGGCAATGAAGGAGTATATACAGGCCGGTGCTTAAGTGGACAAAGTGTATGTATGGCCAAAACTGTTTTATTCTACCTTTCGGTAGAGTAGGGAAGCCTAAGAACTTCTGCCCAGTTGATATTTCTGTCCCTGCTGGGAAGATTCACCGCTCTATTTATTCTTTTGACCATTGTCACCAAAACAGAAACTGATGGGGGATCCAAAATTTTACAATTATCATTGGAACAGGAATTAATGGAATATCTTTCAATGGGAACACCTGTCTATAAAAGGAGTTCCCCTCACATTGCAAAGATTTCCTCTAAATTTGTTTGCTCCTGGACAGAAAGGGAAGGGGAAATATCAGCAATAAATAAACATCTCTACTCGAACTAAAACAAAAAACAAAATATCTATACATTTTAAATGCATAAGAAGCTGTATAACACATTGTAATTTGATTTTAAAATTGCTGCAAATTGTCTCACGGTTGTTTTGTTTCCTGTGTTGCAGGTAAAGTTATAAATAAAGACCTCCGTCATTATCTTAGTCTACAGTTCCAGAAGGGATCCATAGATCACAAGCTACAACAAGTAATCAGAGATAACCTCTACTTAAGAACAATACCATGTAAGTGCTTTCTGTGCTGCTCACTAACATTGTCATTCATTAATTGATTTCTTGTGGGTAAACTCCGGGACTTGGAGAAGGAATGATAGTTTATGTTTAAATAAAATGTATACCCCTAAGCTGGCGCTGGCATAGATATACTGGGGTATATGTAAAATCCGATAGTGAAATAAATGTAATACACTTCTACAAGCTTTACCACAAAAGTATCTTGAGTTTTTTTACCCTCAAGCCTTGTTCACATAAGGTTCTTCAGCTTGTATTAGATGAGTGTGTACAAGAATAATTTGAAAAGCATTCAAGAAGCTTTGTTGAAGCCTTTAATCTACATTTCAGGACCATTTTTGGAATGGTAAACATAGATCTTAATGGAACTAGGGCTGCAGCTAACGATAATTTTCATAATCGGTTAGTTGCCCAATTACGTTATCCATTAGTTGCATTAAAAAAATCTCCCTCTCTCTCCCTCCCTCTCTCCCTCCCTCTCTCCCTCCCCCTCTCCCTCCCTCTCTCCCTCCACCAATTAACCGATAATGAGCATATTTGCCAACTATTCACATAAATTATTAGCGATTAGTAGTTGTTGCAGCAAATGTTACATACAAGTAGGTTTCAGTAAGTTCAGCACTAAGTGAAGCTTGTTGAAAGCCTGCTAGTAGCTTGTTTAAAGTGACAGCATCCAAGATAATAATCTGTAAAAACTATATGAAGATTGTACTCCTGTGACAGATGTAGTGCATTGGCTGTTGTCCTTATAATGATGGTTGGCCACTTTTACAATAACCATAAATATCCTCCAAATTTTTGTAAGTAATAAATACCTTTCTTTACCTGAATTTGAAGAGAAAAGCTGTAGAAGTTTCAGATCAAATCTGAAAAATCTAAGTACCTGGCTCCTAAGCCTATTATTCTGATTACATGACAGACAATGGTCATCATGGTACATAGCCTGCATAATGCTAGCAGAGACAGTCATCATACAGATGAATCTTCCATTCTTGTCTGCTTAGTATCCTATCAGTGTCAGTCAGTTTACTGTCAAAGTGATCTATCCACTTTAACTGTGCTGTGTATAGGAACTTGGGGCCCTTACATTTCATGTGTTACATTGAACTTAAATCTGACAAGATAATTGCTCAATTATTATTGTATATTGTTCCCTTTTGTAAAAAGTTTGTAAAAATGAAAAAAAACTCCATTAGCTAAGGTAATAGATATTTTTTTTATTCAGTTAATTTTTCCTTTGTTTTGTTTGTAAATATGGAAATGGAACTACAGCAATGACATGGACAAGGGGTTCTTTTGTTCACTTATGGTTTGGCATGTGAAATGCATAGATTATTCCCTTTCCAAACAACTTATACCTTTCACCAAGCAGCCTTATTTTAAACTCAAATCCAGCTTTACCTTCAGTCTTTTTTTTTTGCATGTGATATTTATTGACATTTTCAAACATTCACAGCAGATACACATGTAAAACCATCGTAACAGATTGGCATATGCTTAATACATTCTATGACATGTATAGATAACGGCTATGTCAGTAAAAAACAACTGTGAGAGCATCCGTTATCTGCATAGCAAACATTGCAACAACTTATGATCAGTTGTCGATAAACCAGAAGGGTAAAGAGAGAAGAGGTAAAATAAATACCTTCAGTCTTGCGTAGCTGTACAAGCTCCTCTCCTGTACTGAAATTGCTCCCTCTGAATTCACCCAACACTGTTAAACTCTAAAACTGTAAAATTCTCACAATGTGCAATAGGAGTTGCAGCAAGTCAGATAGAGCCCACCTAAATTCCTAACTGGGTGATGTCTAGCAGCACCGAGCTCTGTCTGATTGTCCCTGGCCTGCCCCTTTCATTCATTGCATTTTTGTTGTTTCAGTCATGGAGGATCAGCATCACATGTATGTTACCTAGACCAATCAGCATGCATTTGCAGCTTGCCTAGGAATGCCCGCTCCTATCAGTACTGAGGGCTCTTGAGAGGAGTACTGAGGAAGGGTGCTATGCATTGCATAGATGAGACCCAGTGGATACCTCAGTGGGTATAAAATAAGGTATGTAATGAAAACAGGTTTTATTTAAACATTTAACTAATATATTATTGAGGGAGGACAGGAAAATCTAGTGAAGGCAAATTATAAACAGATCAAACTTCAACTATAAACTTCAAGCTTAATTAAATTATTTGTGTCCTGTAACACCTATTCTTTAACTCCAGACCCTCTCACTGTAAAAATATCTCTACAGCCCAGGGTCAACCAGTGTTATCAAGTGTAAGTAGCATATGTCACAGTAGTCACAATGCTCTTGTAGTTTACTAATTTGTATTGTGATTGTAGTCCATCATAGCAGTGAGCTTGGAGCGATGGCCAGTGTGATAGACTACAATCTCAATACAAATTAGTACACTAAACATAAGATTGTAGTCTATTCCAAGAGCGAGCTTGGAGTGGTGACTACTTTATATCACACACAGGGACTATGAGGAACAAAAGTAGCCACCCTGCGGAAGGAAGAACAGTGTCTGCACTTATTTAGAGACGATTTGAGGATCTGCAGCTAAGTGATGCACATATTTATCTTCTGAGTTTAGTGTAACTTTAAGGATTCAGCATAACATTTACTGTATAGTTTCACATTAAGTTCAACCCCTTTCTAAGTTTTTCTCTACTGAGTCAAAGAAAATGAAATGGCACCTTACTGGTCCTTGAAACGAACATCAGAGGGAGATTTTTTTGTGTCAGGTTAATTTGTGGACTGTAAGTCTATCCTGACACAGAGGCCCCCTTCACATCTTTATTTCAGATACTAGAAAGAGCAGCAACATGCAAAGCATCAGTACTCTGTACACAGACAGAGAAGAAGTGTGTCAGGCTGCATGTTACAGATGGGTACACAAAGACACCTAACTTGCTGATGTATAAAACAAAATAGGTCCCCGTTCACACCACAGGCATTTGTTGCGTGTATTTGTCAGCACCTAAAAGCTTCAACACAAGAAATCCCATTTATTTCTATTATCCCTGCTCACACCTCAGTGTAGCGTCGCGTGTAGAAAAACGCCTGTCGCTGGAAAGAAGTGCATGAACTTTTTTGAGGGCGTATCAGCATAATTTGTCCCCATAGACTGAATAGGAAAAAAGGGTCAAATTGTGCTGATCTGCCCCCCCCCCCATTTTTCCAGCTACAGGCTTGTGTTGAGCTTTTCAGTGTAACAAATGCCTGTACGGGGACTAAGTCATCAGTTTGGTGCAGGTACGTGTTGATGAACACTGATTATTCTAGCATCACATTTGTGTGAAAAGTTCTACACTGGCATTCATTAAATCTGGTTTCTGCAAGAAACATGTATGTTTAGAAGTTACCGTATTTTTCGCTCCATTAGACACACTTTCCCCCCCCCCAAAAGGGCGGCAAAAATGTCAGTGCGTCTTATGGAGCAAATCTCTATGACCCAACGCCTGGGACATGCAGTTTTGGGCGCTGGGCGAGTAGCTTTTTTGGACATTCAGCCATGCTCCGGACAAGCAGAGCTAAATGTACAGCGTGGGGCCGCCGCTCGTTTAATACAGGTGATCTAATCAGATCACTTGAAGCAAATCGAGCGGCGGCAGCGATCGTGTCCAGGGCCCCCCGCCCACTCCTCTGGGGGACTCGTGACAACGGCATAGGAGCTCACCATAGAGCCCGTAAAGCAGACGAAGAACATCTGTTCTTTGTCTGCTCTGTGTGATCACTGAGACAGGTGGCGCTGTAATAACAGCGCAGCTGTCACTAACCGCAGCTGCTGTCACAGAACCCCTGCGTCCTATGGTTCGGTGTGCCTTATAAAGCACAAAAAACATAATATTATTATGTTTAGAAGTTATATAATTTCAAAACTCAGCATTCATATTTCTTTTAATTACAGTTCTATAGCAATGCCAGTAGGGGTCAACCCCTCCCCCAGTTTGTCATTAATTAATTTAATTGTACGATGTAGTAATGACCTTGTTCTGTTTTGCACCTTTAAATGTGTGAAATAAAGAGCCAGTATTAAGCTAGTACTTTATAACCTAATCTAGAAATCATTACAAGTGTGAATGACATTTCCTGATTACATCTAATGTTCCCTTTCAACAGTGCTTAAGCTGATTTTCTCACATTGAGTTAGTACATGATCAGATTTTTCAAACAGTGACACATTTCAGGATGTTTTTGAACTACTCATTTCCATTAGTATAATGGCTTTGCCTTGCTTTATGTAATGTTGTACAATGTAGCTCATCAAATTAAGCCACAGCCATAAGTGCACAATGCACTGAATAGATTCCATCAAGGTTGGAGACGGGACTTTATGGTGGAATGTGTTTAGATGAACAGTTCAAATGTGCCAACTACCATCATACATTGGAAGCAGCTATATTGTGGGTCTTTAGTTGGCCCAATAAACAATATAAATGCAAGACACAGTTGGGTGTTACAGAACTATCTGACCACAAAACACCTTTCCTTCATCTGACATAGAATGTTTGTATAGGATCCATCGATCCATAATAACTTTGGTCACAACGATTAGATTTGCACTACTCAGGGTAATGATAGGCTGAAAATACCACATGCAAGCACCACTCTTACTCCAAAAAGAATACTAATAATGCCTGCTATAGCTATCCCCATTCAGAGGCATAATGATGTAGAAGTGGGGCCTTGTGGCACAATCCCAGTGCTCAGAATTCTTCCATTTGAAAAGGAAGACTACAATGCTTTGGGGTCATTTTGTATTGTAGTTTTTAATTTATATGTTTTAAGACTGATGTTTTACATCTTTTCACTAATATAAAATCTTGAATTTTCAAAACAATATTTAATACTGGCTGTACCCATGATATTGGGAGTGCTAGATATAATAGGTATATAAATAGAGAGCATAACAGAAGATTTTTACTTTCAGGCTCTTGCTCCACTTGACATTCCATATGACCCATTGGAAGACAGCAGGTGGGGGGAGG